AAACATTATTGATGTGATAGAAAATATTATTTTAATGAGAATTGATTTACTGTAGAATAAATTATTCCCAACCTTTTCATTTTGCAGCTGGGTCCCAAACCTTTCATCTCGAATTTAGCTAGAGGATGGATATATGGAGGTTGTTTGGGATAGCTTAAAATCCAATTAAAATTGAAAATATAGCCGTTATTGGGCCATACTCGTCTAATAAAAGTCAACAATAACGATTAATTTTTCAATTTTAATCCGATTTTAATCTCTACCAAACAAGCTCATGGACAAAAACTGTCCATTTGACTGTTAGTTGACCAAAAGTCAACTATCTCACCAAATTATCCCATAAAATAATTAAATAAAAATAAAAATCGTTTGGTCAGATCGTTGATTTTTAGTCAACTAACAGTCAAATGGATGAATTCCGTCTACATGTCCTCCAACTGCAATAGAGATGAATAGTTTGAAATTCCAACCGTAAAAATGAAAGATTTGAGTATAATTTGAAACGAGTTAAAATTTGAAATGCCAACTGCAATTCCCCCTTGATATATTATACCACAAGTTTCTATTTGCTATCAAAATGTGAGCATCATGATGTATAAAATTAAAAGTATGTTTTGTAAGTTTTTATAAATGATTTAAATTATAAATAAATATAATCCATGTTTGGTACCGATTAAAATTTAAATTTTGATTTAAGTCAAAATTAACAATTAATTTCAACCACATATTTTATTGGACTCACAACTTTTCAACTACACATTTTAATCCCAACAAGCAAGGGCATAATGAGTCATCGGACAATAATTGAAGGCCTCGGAAAATTTGTTGAAAGCAAATGATTTGATCGATTATAAACGTGCATGAGCCACGTGAGCTTAGTGGAAGAACATCATATCTCGACTTAGCACCGGTTTGATTTTGCTTAAAATACAATTTTATGTATTTTGATAAAATCTCATGAAATGTATGGTTGAAAAGTTGATAAAAGTTGTGAATTACATGAAATGTGTGATTGAAAATAAGCTTGGAAAAAAAATTGGGGTCAAACAGCGGCTCACTAACCCGATTTGTTTTAGTTAAACCGCTCATTTAATGAGATCGACAATTTTTATTAATTTTTCAGTTACACATTTCATTAACTTTTATTAAAATCTAAGTAAAAATTTAATTTTTAGCAAATCAAACAAGACAATTAAAAGATATTTAATACAAGACAATCATACATATATCCATCCACAAATCTACATTCAATCAAGTCATATCATTGTATCATTACGTAGATTCTTCTCTTATTTGAAGTTTTCTCACATAAAACTAAAAGAAAAAAATAATAATT